GCCCAGAGGCTCGCTGGTGGGGCCGCTGGCCCGGGACCTGGGGCTCAGCGCCGACGAGCTGCCGGCGCGCAAGCTGCGGCTCAGCGCGGACAAGCAATACTTCACGGTGAGCGAGACAAACGGGAACCTGTACGTGAGCGAGAGGCTGGACCGGGAGGAGCTGTGCGGGAAGTCGTTATCCTGCTCGGTCAGCTTCGAGGCGCTGGTGCACAACCCGCTCAACGTTTTCCACGTCGAGGTGTCCATTGAGGACGTGAATGACAACTCCCCGGTCTTCAGCAAGGCTGCTCTGGAACTAGAGATCACAGAATTAACTCTTCCCGGTGCTCGTTTCCCCCTGGAGATGGCCCGAGATGCAGACGTGGGCAGCAACTCGCTGCTGACTTATGAGCTCAGCAGCAACCCGTCCTTCAGTCTGGCCTTGAAGGAAAACACGGGTGGAATGAAGCAGCCCACACTAGTGCTGGAGAGAGCACTGGACAGGGAGAAGCAGAGCTTCTTTGAGCTGGTGCTGATTGCAGTGGATGGTGGGGACCCCGCGAGGTCCGGGACTGTTCAGGTTCGTGTCAACGTGACGGACGCCAACGACAACCCGCCCGTATTCAGCAAAAGCATCTACGAGGCGCGTGTGGCCGAGAACCTGCCGGCGGGGTCGCTGGTGATGCAGGTGCGGGCCACGGATGCGGACGCGGGCTCCAATGGGCGGGTCACTTACTCCTTCGGCAACGTCCCGGCCGGGATCCGTGAATTGTTTGCTGTTGACAGCGAGAACGGCGAGGTCAGGACTGCGGTTCTCCTCGATTTCGAGGAGCAAAGTCAATACAGCTTCGCCCTTGAGGCGAGGGACGGTGGTGGTCTGACCGGTCACTGTCAAGTGCAGATAGACATCACGGACGAGAATGACAACGCGCCTGAGATCACGATTCTGTCGCTATCGAGCCCGGTGCCTGAAGACTCACCAGCCAGGACCGTGGTTGCCCTGCTGAACGTGCGGGACCGGGACTCCGGCGAGAACGGTGAGGTGTCGTGCGAGCTGTCGGGAGAGGCGCCGCTGTCGATCGTGGCGTCGTCGGGCGGCTCGTACAAAGTGGTGACGGCGAGCGCGCTGGAC